TTTGTTCTCTAAATATTTGGAAGCTTCTTGAAATGAACATGGAACTTTTTCATATTGTTTAATTTGACTTATAAAGCTCTACTTAAAAACTAATCAGCAATATAATGTTCAAAGAAGAAAAACCACGGGAGCCTTGTGGATGTTCCTGTCAGTCCTAAAGACTGGGAGAATCACTAGAAGTAATAATCGGAACAGCCCATGCCAAACAGTTTCCAAAGAGGCAATATCTTTAAGAACCACCTGACATTTATGTTGACAAAATTTGCCCAGGCAAACTTCCATTTGAATAAATTTTCTGAATAGTATGGGAGATGCTTTTGTTAGAACCTTTCAAAGCCAGTGACGTGGTTGAACACCTGCCTTAGCTTATTGTTGAGATGTTGTTTTGAACTTTGTACAGGAATAATCATGTAAATTATAATGATCTCTCTTTAGATGAAACAAACACTTCCTTAATTAAAATCTGTGATTCTGTTCTCATGTAAAGAAAGCAATAGAAAATTACTAGAATATACTAGTAATAGAACTCCTTCCCTTCATCTCTTTCCTCCAATACCAATTCTGATTTAAGAGACTCATTCCAGGATAATTTTTTTTCTTTTCCTACAGGAGAGAAACTAGGAAACTAGGAGAAAAAATAAAGTATATACTTTCTTAGCAATACATGCTTTTTGTCCTTAAAAAATGAGAAATATATATGCTGCACTGGAAGTCAAAAAAGGATCATTATTGAAATAGCTACTGGTATGATGAAAAAGTTACCTCAAATAGACTTGTTTAAAAAGGTTTTCACTTTTAAATGGGGCTTAAGAACATGGCAGATCTCCCAGTTATTTTACCATGAATCATCAAGAAAAGAAATTTGGCCAAAAAAAACATATATGCATAGCCCATGGACACAGAAAACGATGTGGTGAAAGTGGCTGGGGGGAAGGGTAGGGGCTGGGTGGAGGGGGGGAAAGTGAAAGGGAGGTCATCTGTAATAGTATAAATGATAAAAAAGAGAAGAAAGGAAATTTGGATCAAGACAGTTAAAGAACAAGTTTGCTCCCCTCCCCCTTGCCCCACCTCCCTCGCCTTGCCACACACACACACACACACACACACACACACACACACGCAATGACAGCTTGTGTGTGAATTTCATTGACTGAAAACAGCCTCAGGAATTCATCAGACCTCCCTTAAACAAGAGACAAAGACAATTGGCATGAACAATTTCACCCAGCAATTAGCTGCACTCACAATTTCTATAGCTCCGTTTAATTGTCGGCATTAAAGGGATGACCAAAGCTGAAAATGCATGCCTATTTATCCTATGACCTCATTCCTTTTTCGGGCCACCTACTTCCCTGAACAATCATTCACTTTAGTGACCACACCTTTGAACAGACCACGCCCTTGAACAACAATTTATCAAAGCACCACATCCCTCCCCACAGAACAGGAAAATTTTCTGATAGTGTATAGAAGTCTGAGCACAGTAAGGGAACTACCCACAATCACTGTAACAAAAGAAAATGGAAAAACAATCATATAACAAAGGTAAGCCCATGCTGAATAATTACTGAGGTCAGAGGCTGTGTATAGACACCCATTTCCCCCTGGGTTGCTTTCTCTTGAATTGAATTTAGTTGCAAATTTCAAATTCAAAAGAATGGTAACACATGTGATGCATACCGTGAGGTTCCTTCTTTCATCAAAACATGCTGTATTCCATGAAATAATCAATGGCCAAAGCACAAAATAATACTTAAAAATGAAATATAGACATATGGGATACCTACAGACTAGGTACTATATGTCTGTCCTCAACATAGTCTCTCCTTAGATAAGCAAATGGTACTTATCCAGATAATCACAGTGCTTCCTACATAATAGGCACTTAATAAATACCTATTCAATGAATGAGTGGCATTAAAAATTAATTTGATCTATTTCTCACACCACCCATCTTTGAATGCAGGGAAAATACCCTGAACTTTGTGAAAAGCTAACTTAATGCAATGGAAAAATACATGTCCAGTGAGTAATTCACATCAATACAGTTCATTTAAAAGACAGTATGTAATTGTGTGTTGTGATGGTAGGTTAATATTTAAACTTTTTAAAAAGTTGAGTCATGAAGCTTTTTTATTTCTTTTGTTTTATGTAGTTTTTATAACTACATTTATTCACAATACCACATTCAGTTTTAAAATGCATCCATGACCTTGATTACACCTGTGTTTGATTTTACCTGTTCACATGAATAAACCTAGTAATTGTAATTCTACCATCGATTTAGACAATTCCACCAGCAACTGTTTTTCTATATTGAATTTTCTCTGAGGAATACTCTATCAAGCAATCAAAATAATAACCAAGAGAATAATAATATATCTCTGATCAATTATAAAAAAGAAAGAAAGCAACATTAGATCTGGAGAAATTGAAAATATGTTTACATCTGTAAACAATACCATTTTAGTGCACAAGAAGGCAAGAGAGGAAAAACATACACTCAGAAGCCAGATATAGAAAATACTAAAGTGCTACAAAAAGCATTTGGTTAAATCTAAAATTAAATACATAAGCTAAAATTAAGATTCAGGAAGCAAAGCAGAGTGGCGTCAATTTCGGTTTCTCAAAGGGAACATATTTTACTATTGACAATTATGTCTTTTTAAAAATCTTATGAATTCTCTGAATGTCATCCAAATACCAAAATGCTAAAAACAATTAAAGTAAAAGTTTAATTGAATTCAGATGACTAACCATTTTCATAGGTGTCACAGTCACAAATCCTGGCATGAGAATTGTTGCTACATGCCAACTCAAAATGTCTCTGAAACAGCACATGAGACAAACAAACAAAAGAATTTTGAATACTATTTACTGCTTGCTTGTGCTTGGCATGGTACTTAACAAAGCTGTCATGACATCTCACCTGGCCACATCTTAACCATTTTGTTAGCAGGAAGGTGCTTTCGGACCAAACCTAGGTCCTACTTTATACAATGTAATCCTGCCAAGAAACAGGGAGAAAGAAAAACAAAAATAGATTTTCCTAGTCACACTCTTTGTGGCAGCTGTCAGAGTTTCGTGAATGTCCTTTGATATCTACCTCAATTTGAAATGTTATAGCCAAATTTTCCCTCCTCTTGTTTCACTAAGAGAATGAAGTAACTTATTGTTTTGCTTCACCATGTATCTAGAATTTTACCTCATTGATTTTCACCAAGCCCTTACTTTTCTTTTTTTTCAATTACAAATAACTTCGGACTTCATAACACCCTCCATTGCAATCTCTTCTCCTAGTGTCTGTAGCCATACTTTTGATTTCTCAGAATCATTATAGAGTCCTCTATGGAGAGCTACATATTCCAATGAAGACAGTCTCGTAAGAACCAGTTACACAAATATCAGGTAGAAAGAAGGAAAGGCTTGTAAAAAGCCCAGCCAGCTTGGCCCTGGGATTATTAGAAAGATAAATTGGACTAAGGAGCATGCAATAAAATGCAGTCCTAAAAAGTGTTCTGTGGTCAATATTTATGAGTTGCCAAGTTTCAGCTTTTTAATTTTTATCTATTCATCTTTTTCTAGCAAGTTGACAAGAGATTAATTGTTTAAATAACTATGACAAGTAAGGTGGTTTTCGCATTCTTATGATAATGTCAACTGTTGCTTTTGAACTTCTTATTGTTTTGGGGCTATTAACAAATACAGGTGATGCCCACTTCAGTGTAGACTATTGGAATGTACATTTGCATTATTATCACTTATACAAACTAGTAGTTTTAGCCTGTATATTTTTCCCCTATAACTTAAATATAGGTGGAATTTTTCTCAATGAAGAAATTCCTAACAGTAAATCATGGATTTTTCTTCATATTTTTTCCACAAGCTAAGCTAAGGATGAAAGAAAAGATTGTGGCCTTTGTAGTTGTTGGGTTATCTATATTTTTTAATTCTATAAAAATAGTTTTATTATATACATCAAAAACATTGCTTTCTATCTTACTCTAAATTGAGGTTAATTGATATTATTGCAGATTGGTATAATAATGTAACATAGGATAATATTCCAATGGTTATATTTTTTTCTCTTTTTGGACCTCTTTATAATACAAATTATATCTTAAAAACATGATTTTAGTTTGGACAGAAGTTTTCAGAAAGTTTAAAGACATGAAAATTTAATGTAAAGATAGTTAAAGAATGAAAACAAAGAGCTGTTAATTTTATATAATCTTGCAATAAAGATTACATTCATTGGCATAATTATTAGCACAGATACTTATGCTAAAATAACTCCTTTAAAACCAAATTTATTTCATTTTAAAGTGTGTCTTAGAGTTCCACCCTTTTAGCTTTCATATAAACAACTTCTTACATCTTGACTTCCTTAATCCTATATCCACTCTTTCAATACTCTTTTACCAGTATTCATAAATTATTCACCTTAGTTATACAAGAACCAATGTGTTATTTTCAGAAGATGAAACACATGTGGCAATTCAAGCAGGGATTCATGCCTGTCATTTATCCTAGAACAACATACTATTTGCTGAACACAAATATTTGCTTGTCACGCCATACATGTCATTGTATCAGTGTCATTTGATACAAAAAATTGTGTTTACTTCTGATATGAAGTAAATCAGAGAACTAATTCTATAAAAATTCTATAAAAATTAATTCTATTAAAAGTACTCAAGTTGAGGATTGCTTTCTGGTAGAGGCAAAAGTCAACTTCAGATCAGATACTCCAACCAAATTCAATAAAAATAAGCCATCCTATGCTCTAGTTGATTATATGAAAATCATTGGAACTGGTAACAAGCAACCACAAGCACTAGCAAATGAACAGCTAAGAGATGAAATTTAGGTTCCTATACATCGCATATGTAGCTGTATTCTACTGAGAGATAACATCTTTTATAACAGAGGCAGAGAAACAGAAGGAAAAGAAATAAGGTTCAAGACTTCCTCTCTCAACTAGACTGTCTTTGTGGTACCTGGGAACGGTCGCTCCAAACCAAATTTTGGTAGGAGGAGGAACTTTTCAGAGGGGAGAGCACTTCTCGTGAGCCAATGGGGTCCAAGGCCTGAACCACCTTGTTCATGGGCCCACTGTAGGTCCTCACTCGCTCATACACTAGATTTTTTTCTGGAGGCTGCTGGGTTTGACTTGACTGATGGTAGCAGTGGTAATGCTGGGGCTGGCACTGCAGGACCTCTGGAAGCTGCTGAGTCCCACAGCTGCTGCTGCTGCTCGTCTCATTCCAATAGCTTGAACTCATCATCTTGTCGGTGGTCCGTAAGGTACTCTCCAGATGCTCTCCCTAAGGAACAAACAGAGAGACAGAGAGAGAGAGATCATGAAAGGAAGGGAGAGAAAGACAGACAGGTCAGTGCATGTACAAGACTTTTATCAACCTGACTCTGTCTATAGTGGTGCCAGGAAGGAAGGAGATTTACCTGAGCAGCAGCAGGAGCAGGTCTGGCAGCTGTAGAGGAGGCAGCAAAGTATTTGAACAGGAATGGAAAATGGAGCCACCCTGTGAGATTGCTCCAGGAAATGGTACTGACACGCCTCTGAGGGGTGGATTCACCAGACAGGTTTACCTGCCAGAAGGAGCCTGGCATTGCCATGGAGATAACTACAAGGCTGCCCAGTAGGTTGGGAACCTGGAAAGAGCAGAAATTTGGACTTTCAGGGCTCAAGCCAGAGCTTCCAAGTCCACGGGCTTGGAAATTCACTTTAAACAGAAATAGGCAGACAAAGACATGCTCACACCAAAAGTTATTAGAGAACAAAAAGGTTATAAACATGACATAGAAGTGGTTTTGACAAGGTTCTTTTGAAGCTTAAAAAGGCATGACTATGATCATTCCAGAGTCACAGACTGAAATAGGGTATTATCCTCGGGACATACTAATTCACAAATACCTTTGCATTCTTTGCAAAACCCAGCTGATAATTGTACTTTAGGGGAATTATTATGGCGTCTCCTTTTGGCAACTTTCTCTAATTTATGGACCTCTTTATCTTGCTTCAACCTAGTATGGCTTTCGAACTTACACTGAAGTAGATTTGTCCAAATAACTGAATAGATGTTTATTCATGGAGATTGTTTAAAAAAATATTTAACAATTTCACAAATGCTTTGTATTTTAGCATTTAGATTTACCCCTTTGCATTTTTTTTTACAAATGAATATACCTCTTTTGTATATGCCATAGGAAATACTGAGTTTGATTACCTGTTTTCATATCTACATTTTAAGGATTCTGCAAGTCCTTACCTAATGTGAAGTTTAAATGTTCACAGCATTTATATTTATTACTACTTAAACTTACCATCATAATGCCTATTTACCCCCCAGATCTTGCCTTGCGAGATACTTCAGCACCTCTGAACACTAGTACCCTCTGAGGGTGTCTTCAGAAAAGGTGTGTCTTTCTAGTGTTTAATACACCATTGAATTAGGATTACCATAAACATTCCAGAGAAGAGGTGAGTATCATGGAGCTGGCTAGCCAGCTTTTTTCTGCTGAGTGAATGAAAAGTAGTGATTTACTACTTGTCACTCACTATGACTAGGTACTGTGCAAGAAGCTTTACATGGATCATCTGTCATTGTTACAACTTTATGAGGTTTTATACATGAGGAATTTGGATACAGACACAGAGAAGTTAAAAACTTTCCCCAATTTAAACAAAGAATAAATGGTGGATCTGCGATTTCAACATAGGGCAGCTCATTTTAGAGTCTAAGCTCTTATCTATATTATACTGCTAGATATATTTTAAAATCATGTTCTGCATCTGGGCATATAATAAATCTTCTAGAGGGGAAAATCAAAAAATAGTTTTAACTGCTAGCTTGTGAGTGACTTTAAAAAGAATCTTTGGCTATTTTACAGGGCAGAAGTGACCAAAATGCTGCAAATTGACCTTAAAAACTCTTTAAAAATTTATTGTATATTTACATTTAAATTTGTGTGTTATGTGCAGAACTTTGAGATCTAATCTTTGTTTATTTCAATGCTACTCCTCAAGAACCAATGAAAACTTAAATAGAAACATGTGACCTGCCAAACAGCCTGGCAAAAATATCACATCAATAAATTGTTAATATCATTAGCAGTAGCATTTTGAATAAGTTTTAAGACTGATCAGGGTATGCATGTTAAATTGGGTCATCCAGTTAGCTCTGATTTTTGAGAGATAAATTTAAGACACAAACACATACACATAGTGCTATTAATATCTGCAACTAAGAGGTGACCCAGTAGATAAGGTGACTGAAATGAAGAATACAAATTCCTTCATCTATTAAATGGTGGCCATACCTTCCCCACATATTTCCTTGCTATATGGTATTTTGAAGGCAGCCAACTACATGCAGTTGGGCAAAAATTAATGTGTGAAACTGACATCCTCATCTAACCCTCAAACCTGATGCATCACTATATCCCATTACTGGATATGAGAAAAAGAAAGCTTGAAGCTCATGGAGTATATAAGAAATGAGATTAAACACTATCTAGAAGACAGACCACACCTAACCAACTGTAAAAGATGTGTCGAACAACCTAATTCACCTCAGAGTCTTATCAGTCATTCTTGCCAAGTTTTTTGCTGCTTCTCTGAGAATTCATGTGTGCCTTCAATGACCTGAATCACCAATTGTTTTATTTCTCATTTATACAGATTATGCTAATACTCATCTATATTTATTAATAAATGCATATGAATATTATTTTGACTGTTTTATAATGGTACTTGCCCTGTTCTCTACTTAAAAACCCAGTGGATTGACAGTGTGCATTCTGACAACTTCATAATTAATTATGTTACCCCTCTAATATTGCTGAACGGGATAGTAAAAATTGATTCCTTATTGTTAGCTCCAGACTTGTTCAGAGAATCCTTAATTATACTTCTGGTATTTATTTTGTTTCATTCAGTAATATATTTTGTGTTTAGTACTAAAAAACTTCATTTATGACAATGAATTTTATTTCCCCTTAGAACTGATATCGCTTGAGAAGCTAATTCAGTTCTAATAGATTTTCAAAAACTTTATTATTTCTCATTCTAAACATAATTCATGCTTTAAAAATTCAAATAACTGTTTTCCACAGTGGCTGCACCAGTCTGCATTCCCACCAACAGTGCACGAGCATTCCCTTATGTCCATATCCTCACCAGCACTTGTTTGTTGATTTGATTTGCTTATGATGGCCATTTGACAGGTGTGAGATGACATCTCATTGTGCTTTTATTTTGCATCTCTCTGATGATTAGTGATGAGCATCTTTTTTGTATGTCTCTTGGCCATTTGTATGTCCTCCTTAGAGAAGTGTCTATGTAGGACTTCAGGCATTTTTTAAAAATATATTTTATTGATTATGCTGTTACAGTTGTCCCATTTCCCCCTTCACTCCCCTCCACCCTGGACACCCTCTCCCACCCACATTCCCCCCTTTAGTCATGTCCATGTGTCATACTTATAAGTTCTTTAGCTTCTTCATTTCCCATACTATTCTTACCCTCCCCCTATCTATTTTCAACCTACAATATGCTAATTATTCTCTGTACCTTTTCCCCCTCTCTCCTCCTCCCACTCTCCTGGTGCTAACCCTCCATGTGATCTCCATTTCTGTGGTTCTCTTCCTGTTCTAGTTGTTTGCTTAGTTTCTTTTGTTTTTGCTTTAGGTGTGGTTGTTAATAATTGTGAGTTTGCTGTCCTTTTACTATACATGTTTTTATCTTCTTTTCTTAGATAAGTCCCTTTAACATTTCATAAAATAAGGGCTTGGTGACGGTGAACTCCTTTAACTTGACCTCATCTGAGAAGCACTTTATCTGCCCTTCCATTCTAAATGAGAGCTTTGCTGGATAGAGCCATCTTGAATGTAGGTCCTTGCCTTTCATGACTTGGAACAGTTCTTTCCAGCCCCTTCTTGCCTGTAAGGTCTCTTTTGAGAAATCAGCTGACAGTCTGATGGGAACTCCTTTGTTGGTTACTGTCCCCTTATCTCTTGCTGCTTCTAGGATTCTCTCCTTCATTTTTACCTTGGCTAATGTAATTATGATGTGCCTTGGTGTGTTCCTTCTTGGGTCCAACTTCTTTGGGACTCTCTTAGCTTCCTGGATTTCCTGGAAGTCTATTTCCTTTCCCAGAATGGGGAAGTTCTCCTTTATTATTTGTACAAATACGTGTTCAATTTGTTGCTTTTCCTCTTCCCCTTCTGGTACCCCTATAATTCAGATGTTGGAACGTTTAAAGATGTCCTGGAGGTTCCTAAGCTTCTCCTTGTTTTTTTTTTAATTCTTATTTCTCCATTCTTTCCTATTTCGTTGTTTCTTTCTTCCTTCTGGTCCACTCTATTATTTTGAGTCCCAGTTTCCTTCTCATTACTATTGGTTCTCTGTGCATTTTCCTTCATTTCTTTTATGGTAACCTGCATCTTTTCATCTAATTTGTACCCAAAATCAACCAAACCTGTGAGCTTCCTGATCACCAGCGGTTTGAACTCTGCATCTGATAGATTGGCTATCTCTCGGTCACTTAAAATGATGAGTCCTGGGGCATTGATATGTTCCTTTGAAACCTCTCTCTCTCTCTCTCTCTCTTGGTTTTTTTTTTTTTTTTTGGTCTGGTTGCTCCTGTTATGGTGAGGGGTGGAGCTTTACGTGTTCACCAGGGCTGGGCACCCCAGTCGCTAGATTGTGATGTTGTACATGGGGGCAGGGGCAGGAGGGAACAATGGTGGTAGCTCCGTTCTCTGTGGGACCTCAGTCCCCTCTCTGGGATCCTGGGTTGCACGTTCTGCCCTGCTCCACAATCGCTGTCTTACTGGGTCTGCCAGCTGCCACTTGCATACTCAAGGTCCACCCGCTGCGATCTTGTGTGCCCCAGATGCCTTATGCACCCCTGTTACAGGGTGCAGCCAAGAGGGGGGACCCCAAATAGGCATTTAAAATGGGGTCCAGAACTCAAGATGTCTAGGAGATTTTAGGATGTCCTCACCCCCACCCCCCAGGTGTGGGTTGGGGGAAGGGACAAATGGAGCAGGGCCTTTGAGAGCTGTTTTGCAGAACAACAGCCTTGTAGCTAACCTCCGGCGTGGTCATTTAATATATCTATAGCCTTTGGCTGGTCGCTTAGATATGTTAAATAGCTGTGGCCAGGCTCTGAGCCTGGGGAATGGAAGTAACTACCCCACCAAGGTGTAACTGGGGGGCAGGTCCCCCGAGTTACAGCGCCTGCATGGGAGCTTGGAGATGATTGGCTCCATGACATGGGGCCACACCTGCCCAGACTCATGATGGCAGTCCAGTAAAGCTGGAAGGGTATGAGTTCTGGCATGTGAGGCCAAGTATAGGAGGAGTCGGAAATGGGGCTGCAGAGGAAGATTGGCCCGGGATTTAAACCCAGACATGGCAGCCATTGAAGGAGAGAACCATGCAGCTGTGGAAGTGCAGAGAAGGTCACAGCTATTGGAGGGGGAGAACCACACAGCTTTAGCAGAGTGAAGGCTCCCACAGCCCTGAGAGGGAGAACCA